CATAAACATGACTTTCTAAACATGAACATACATGATGGTCGGAAAATCTAACTTATCATATGACGACGTGTGAGAGTGGTCCGTGGTGCGCACTAGGTGTGCGACCACACCTCCTCGACCAACTCCTTTAAAAAGACTAATTTCACCCGAACAATTAAGCTCAATTAACAAGATATTGCACATAAAAACTAAGCATGCAAGAGTGTTCGGAGACTCCGCATAAAAATCATGACATGATATCAATAGGCACGGTTAAGGCATGGCTTATTCACATCACACGCATGCATGACCATTTAACCTCTTATCTCACTAAACATGATTCTCTCGGTCAAGAGACGACGGTACTTACCTCTTATAAAACTCAAGAGGTTGAACGACTCGGAACCGTGCTCTCGGCCTTGCCTCCGCGTGCGTGCGTGCGTTGCGGTGCGTGCGAGTATTCACGGCAACGGACGGCTGCTGCTCGCGTACGGTACTCGCTGCTCCTTGCTTGCGGTACGGTAGCTATGGCCTGAACTCGCGATGGCTCGCGGTGGCGGATGGACTCTCGATAACTGTTGCGCACAACACTTACTAAAACTCTCCACTCTCCTCACTCTCGGCACTTAAGAAAGAAAAGGAGTAAAAATGAGACAACTCCCTCAAGCTACACTTAAAAACCGAAAGATGGGCGGAGGAAATGAGGGGGAGGGGGACACTCGGACACAAAGCACTAAGTCTTGTCTCATTCACGTGCGCTGCCAAGAAAATGACGAAGGATGGCTCGGCTTTGGACTCTCCGCCACTAGCATTGGCCGCGGATCCCATGACTTGTGACAATGCACATGAGCTCGGTCTCTTAGGACGGATGGGACAAAAATGGTGAAATTCCCGCGCACAAGAGGACAAAGGGGCGCACGGACAATGAGGGAAATGTTGGGCGCGGATAGCTTGAGCCTTGGACACTCCGCCCCTTAGTGCTTGCACGGCAATCATGGTTTCTCGGACCGAACCCGCGCACACGGTCTTCTCCTGGACGAACACGCGCGCACGGCACTCGCATGAACTATGGACCGAGTAACACACGACATTGAACATGAACTCGGAATAAAATCCGAACAATAATTAATCTCGTGATTAAGTTAAATTAATCACGTAATTATGTTTAATTATCAAATTAAACATAATGCTTAACTACCAAAATTATTTCGAACGTAAACGGTACGTCGAAAATAGTTCCGGTAATTCCGACTGAAATAACTGAAAATTAATTAACTCCGAAATATAATATCGGAACTGAAATATTATTATACTGATAAAAGTCGGGATATTACAAACTCCCCCAACCTCGGTCAAGGGTGTTCAGGCCCTAACTGGCCGACTTGCTGCACTCAACCGGTTCATCTCCAAGTCTACGGATCGTTGTAAGCCGTTTTTCGAAGCAATCAAGAAAGGGAAACGTTTTGAATGGACCGAAGAATGCCAAAAAGCTCTTGACAGTATCAAGGAGACGTTGGTCTCTCCCCCAACTTTGCAAAAGCCGAAACCCGAGGAAATGTTGTTCTTATACCTCGGAGTCAGTGAATCTGCCATTAGCGCTGTTTTAATACGCGAAGAGGGATTGATGCAATCACCTATCTATTACGTCAGCAAATCCTTGCACGACGCCGAGATGCGTTATCCTCCGATGGAAAAGTTAACGTTTGCGCTTGTGATGGCAGCCCGGAAATTACGGCCATACTTTCAAGAGCATTCTAT